AAATAAGCTCCCTCCCCATTCTCGACGTCAAAATATTTATTAAGCGAAACTAGCGAAAATTCAAGCATTTACTATATGCGGACGCGCGTGCCAAAATACAGTGTATACGATCAGCGGGTACCTTTTACCCCTTAATGCTCTGCCATTTTTCATAAGAAAGAACAGTCCTGGAAATCACTAAATTAATCTTACGAAGGATGAGGATCGTCGATAAAAATGTGATAAAGCCATACAATTGCATTTTTTGTGGGCGTAGTCATCTCCTCAACAAACAAGTTGCAAACAACTTTTTTCACGTCTGAGAAAACGGATACGTCCAATCAGAAGTCACAGACGGTGGTGTGAGTTTCGCGCCAAATTTCCCGCCTTTTATAGACGCTTGCAGCTTACAGGGCCTTCGCTTTGCGATTGCTTCGCAGACATTTAACGAGAAACGTTTTTCTCAAGAGCTTTTCGCCTAAAAAAGTGAAAAACTCGGAAATTCTGGACTAGAATAGTTTCGTGTATTCTCTGTCGATGAAGAGAATTGTAGAGAGCCGGCCGGCTAAACAACAGAAACAACAGCGGAAGGGGAAAAACAGAACTAGACGTAAACTAAACTAGCTGTGCTTTTATCGGAGCTACTTTGTTTTCTATTTAAGCTTACTTAAAGGAGCTGTGTCACGAAATTCAGCCAAATTAGAAAATTACAAAATTTGCTAGTTAAATCAAGAGAGAAACGTAAAATAACCTCTTAAAACCTTAGAGGAAGGTTAGGAAACATAACAGAAACAACAGATGCCACGGTGTAAATGACACAAGCAGAGATTCGAGACAAACAAATATGTCTCCTGAGCATTATTTTTGAAGTTGCAAACAGCAGAAATCAACTTTGAAAAACTGTTAGGCTGAACAGTTTTCAAAAACCCTAATTTTCGAGACAAACAAATATGTCTCCTGAGCATTATTTTTGAAGTTGCAAACAGCAGAAATCAACTTTGAAAAACTGTTAGGCTGAACAGTTTTCAAAAACCCTAATTTCAATCCGTGTAAATCTTCGTCAGTTTTGCCCATCCGTGGCATCTGTTGTATCTGTTCAGTTGTGTTACTTTAACCTTCCTTTAATGTTTTAAGCGCTTATTTTTAAGTTTCTCTTAATTTAACGGGCGTTTTGTAATTACCTAATTTGGCTGAATTTCGAGACACAGCTCCTTTAACAAACGTTTTTTACTAACAAGCTGATGCATCGTTTTGTTTTTCTTTTCGCACTTAGCGGCAAACTTAAGCATTTTGGAAAGATTTGAAATAAAAAAGGCTGTCAAAATGATGAATGTCTCAGTATGTATATAATAAACAGAATATGACATGGAAAGTGTTTTGTACGGTATATACGTACGCACGAAATGTTGACGTACCAGAAATCTCACTAGTTCGCTGCTCTCACTCGTGATTTCTGATACGCCGGTCAACAACTCCTGCGGAAATATACGCCCGCACTCTCATGAAGTATTCTATACCAATTTCGTGTTCACTACCAATTCGATTCGCCACATGTTGCCGCTATTAACGTCCAAGCTTGTACCCAAGGGGCGCGATCCATTCGACCAAAATTTACGGAAATATCGGTCCAAAACTCAATCAATCGGTTCGGTCCAACCGGACAAGGTTCGAAAAAACTAGTCCACCTTTTTAGGTGGAATACTTTTCCCGGTTGGACCGGTCGGAATTGTGGTTGAATGGATCGCGCCCAAGATCTCCAGGAACCCATTCCTCGAAAGTCCCGTTAACATTTCGGGCCCGAAATCAAATTTTCAAATCGAATTATAAAGAATAAGAGCGCGGGTCCTGGCTGGTTAACTGCTCCATTTTGTTTCATTAACTGATAGTTTTATCATGTTAGATGCAAAACTATTCAAACCTCTATCTTGCGTGTAAACAACGGCAGCTTTACGGGCCCGTTAATTATCGGGACTTTAAAGAAACGGGCCCCAGGCCCGCAAAAGAAATTCGGCAGTAAGTAGAGCACGAGACGCAAGTGGGTATGAGATAAAGAAGAAGATAAGTGAGCGAAAGGGACTGCTATGCAGGATAGGCAGCTCCCTCCTCCCTTCACCTTTGCAATTTTATATTTCATATATTCATGGGCTGGGAAAGGCACTAAATCTCCGCGACGTCTCCATGGTTGCCGTCCGCCATTTTACAAAATTTCGATTTCTCCCTCCCCTTTCCACTGACTAAAAAACAATGTTACGAATTTTCCCCTCCACAGGGTCAGACAATCCAGTTTATCCCCATTTTATACCCTTATTCTTTTTGCTTTCTTGCTATCCATTTTTTCTTTGGCGAATCTATTTCGATTTTTCTTTCTCAATCTCTTTTTCCCCTTTGCCTTTCTTTTTTTCTAGTTTTTTTTGTCTTTCTTTCGATCGGAATTTTGCCGGCCAGTTTTCCAGGAGAGGGAAAATTTAAACTGCAAGGAGTAATAGGTAAACGGCAAAACTGGTGGTGAGTTTTTTCCCAAAATTTTACTTTTATTTTATTGTTGTTGTCTATAACTCTGACACGATTGCCTAAAGTTTTCAAAATGAAGTACCTGAGGATCTATATCCTTGCTGAATTTGCTTTTTACAGACTTAAACGCTTAAACTAAACAGTGATCCGAGATTACAGGGTCGAAAATCTTGATTTCAGTAATGAGAGAATTATCTTTTTTAGAAATTACAAGATGCAAAGTGTGTCCGTTACCGTGAGTTGCTCCAGTAACGTGTTGTTGTAGGTTGCAAGATTCAAGAATTTCATTAAAGCGGTTTGCATAGATGCTACAAGGGTAGATACTACAAGGGCCATAGCTAAGATCAGGATGTACTTAAATGAAGATACCTCTCAAATTTTAGTACATGCGTTTATTAGCTCTAAACTCGATAACTGTAACTCTTTGTTGTATGGTCTTCCTAAACACCTGTTAAACAGATTAAGACTGATACAAAACACTGCTGCACGCATTGTTACATTATCTGAGCGGTTTGACCATATCACTCCATCTGTTACATCTGTCGACCAGTTCAGGACGCAGTTGAAGACATACTTACTTAAATTAGCCTACGATGTTTGATTTTAGTAGCTTTATTTAATTTTTATTTTATCTTATAATAGTTTTTAACTCTAGTTTCTTACCATATTATTGTACAGCGCCTCGAGCAATTAGTAGATACCGCGCTATAATATAAGTATCTATTATTATTATTATTAAAATGGTCCAAGAAAGATGATATATATTGTTACATAGAGAACGAGAACGACCAAAGAGTCATCAAAGAATTGAAACCAAATTACTATCATTCCAACAAAACTATCTTGTGTCACTTCACGTAAAAATTCCAGAAGAACAATGTTCAGTATAACTCTACAGCTTCAATTACATTCAAATCAGCGTTTAACAATAACTTTAATTCTCTACTCACAAACCCCTTGCATGCATAAAACAACTACCCCGAATACAATGGCACCCAAGTATACGCTACCACAGCGTCTTGTACTTAAAACCTTTGCCTAGTCCCTGCACGGCGTCTTCCTAAGCCTTCTTAGAATGGGTTGCGGAGCGTAACCACGCAAAACGTCTTCGCTCATCTACTCACTTAGTATGTTCGGGCGGGCGGGCATAGGGACGGACAGGCTTACGAAGACGTCATAGCCAAATTTTCTCACTTCGATAGGTTTCTAGTTTTGTATTGCAATGAACACTCCTCTAATTTAGAGGTCCTTGAATCTTAAACACCTTTCAGTTGATCTTTCTGATACAGCCGGTTTGTTAACCAATTTGTTACCGTTCATGGGTCACAAGATCATTGATCATTGCCCTGTTAACAAGGAATAAAAAAACGGTTACCGTATGATCCAAGCTGTGATTTTTTGACCTCCTTCCTCGATACAATTATTTCGGTTCATCCTTCTAAGGGTAAGGTTTAACCCGGGGGTTTAACTTATCTTCCGTTGTCGTGTTTGAATTCACCACTTAGTGTAAACAGAATAGTGATCTGCAACCTATTTTATCTCAACAGGATTTTTAGCCGATTAACAAACTCAGTCGTTATGACCTCCTCACCACGAGCGTAGGCCAGGCGGCAACTCCTATAATGAAAATATAGACCTCAAAATGTAAAGTCAATAATGCTCTCTTATTAATTACGGAGACAGATAGATGTTTGTTCTTTTTACCCGTGAATTTTTTCGAGTATGACGTATTTCTGTTGGATTCTTGTCGCGCGCCTTCATGTATTTTTTAAGCTAGTATTCAACCGATACTACATGTAGTAGGTTATAGTTAGGAATCATAATCGGGGTATGGCTCCTGGAATAGTGTAATCTAAGCCCTCGTCCACACGATCCGGATATTTTTGAATCCGCAACTTTATTTTTCTTTGCGGATTCGGCTTCCGACCACACGTATCCGGTGTATCCGGCATACGAACCCATAACGTTTTGAATCCGGAAATTTTTGAATACGCTATGAATCCGGAATCGTGTGGACGATAAATCTGGATATTTTTTATCCAGTGGCGTCACAAGATCGAGCCCAGTTCTTTTTACTTCAGTTCCAAGTCTTATAACGTGTGTGCAGTTAAACCTAGCTATGATTACTGTACATCTCAATTACGTCAAACGGCGGCTGGACAGTTTGAAGCTTCTTCCATGTAGGACGGACGAATTGGACGCCGTAAACAAGTTAAACGAGCGAAATAGTGCTTGGTAGGGCAATTTTGTCAGTGAAACGGTTATTGAAGAAGTTTCGCGATCAAATTTTCGCATAAACCGAAGATCGCTGTACAAATTAGCTGACGAACTGAGAGTGAATCCGGATACGTCGAGATACGTGTGGACAAGTAAATTCGAGTTGAATACGGATACGTGTGGACGTGGAAATTTTTGAATCAGCAAAGAAAAATACGTGTGGAGGGGCCTTATTTCATTCATACACTGTTTACTCATCATCCATACACAGTCGGTTGGAGTTTTCCAGGTGTTCAGCCACTCGCTTCGATCACAGCCGGTGTCAATGGTCTCTCTACAGTGTGCACAGTTCCTCTGTTACGGCAGATGTTCTTAGCCAAAACCGACCTGAAACCCTCACGAAAGCTTTCGTTAAATATAAAATAAATCATAGGGTTTATAACGGCGTTCATAAAATAAAGCATAAGTACAATAAAGCGGCCATAATTTCTCTTCAAAACCAAGTAGAAGCCAAAAAGATGAGAAAGACTCAGCATTACAAAAGGCAGAAAGCAAACGTAGAACACAACTACAAGGGTGATCAACATTTTGAAAATTTCGCGATTTTGTTTTTCCCTTCTTGCAAGCGTTGCCTGGGTTGGATTGCCAGGAATCGTTCTGTACTGCCATATCTTGAGTCCAATGGCGGTGTAGAGCACTAGCATAATGGCAAGAGTTATAGCAAGAATTCCTGCCAAAATGGTGTACCACAATTTCAAAACGTCTGCATCTGAAAGTGTGCATGTGGTGTAGAATCCTCGTTCGACAAGAGTGGAGTAATAGAGCAGAGGCGAGGCGTAAACTGTCGAGATAAACCAGGTCAGAAAAATAATGAGGAAGCAAATTCGGCGAGTAATGAGCTTCTTGTACGGCATGAACACGGCGAAAGATCGATCGACGGAGATTGCAAGGATCGTAAGATTAGTGGTGACCATAGAAATCAACGAGAAGAAGACATCCACCTTGCACAAAGCCAACCCAACACTTTCCCGAAGGACCCAGTGACCATTCAAGACAAAGTCGTTGTATGCGTGCGGCAAATTCTGTACAGCAAACAGGAGATCAGCTAGAGACATATTGGCGATAAAATAGCAGTTGGTGCTCCTCAAGCGATTTCGAAAGTTCTGTTTAAAAATTAAAAGGACAAGACTGTTTTCTGCCAAGGATACAGCAAGGAGAAACATGCAAATTGTGGTTTTTGTGATGATCACCCCAACGTTTTGTGTATCAGTACCACTGCTGGAGAAATTGGTGGCATTTGCCATCTCTCGAAATGTTTTATGTGGCCTATCCCGGGTGTTGATATCATTTGAAATGAAAACCACTCTTTGTTTGATTCGATTTAAAAAAAAGCAAGCAACACCTGCTGTAGTTATACCACATTTTGCATTGCAATCAGCGTCCGATTGAAACTTTTCTGTTAACAGCTATTTGTAATTAACGGTATATTTAGTCAGTTGTCGTCTCGATAAATAAATTAGTAAACGTCATAATACATCCGGCCTCTAAAACTTACTCGACTTGTACAAAAAGCTATCCATAATTTGAGCTATAGTAAATAGAGTTGTGAGTGACCGGTCAGTTTTTATGGAGAGGGGATAAAAAAACGATGGAAGGTTGGGGGGAGGAGGGTACTTTAGAGTGATTAGCAGTGTGGCTATTTCTGTTTTTGTAATTAACGAAAACGTGTTGCGGCGGTCAGTTTTTTCAGGTTATGCTAGATTCAATAAATTATTTGTGTTTGTATGGCCTAGGGAAATTCAAAAAACGTCTCAAAAAGTGGAATCCTATCAAGGATCCAAATAGGTAAGAGTTACAATAACCCAGCCAGCTGAAAAAATATCACCGCCAAATGTTTGTGTCAGTCTGATAGCCTGAGGAATTCGTCTAAATATCACGAAAATTTTAATCATATATCTTTTTAGTTATGTTCTACCAAAACAGACTTAAATACTAAAGAAATAAAGTTTCAGAATCAGTTTTACATTAACAGTAAAATCAGGAGCGAGGGCACCGCTTAGAACATGGTAATTATTATCGCCGAATGTATCTGGCAGTGTATTGCTAGTCGACTTAATGCACCCAAGTATTGAAAAAAAAAAAAAAGGCAACTACATTACAGACACCTCAAAATTATGGGGGAGGTGTCAGAATTAAATTATTGCTTAAAAGAGGGGGTCACTTGTGTTTTTCTAGCCCGTGAGCAAGTTTCCTTGCCAGGACTAGGGAAGGGGGGTCCTTTCAAAACTTGCAATGCATTCTCCCTCCCCCTTTCCCATAAATAACGACCGGTCTATAAGTTTTATTGAACAAGGAAAGCAATGTCTATATATCACTTCACAATTAAAAGTATGAATTGAAATCAATGTTTTACTTAAAGGGTTTATTGAGGTTAGGGTGAAGGGAAATGTTTCGCTCCATAGCTTTATTTGCACTTGCGAAAAAGCTCTTACATGATTAAAAATTGACCTAGCATTTAATTTTTTGGATCAGATGACAAAAAAGGGTGTATTTGATTATTTAGGCGATGTACATACAATTAATTTTGTATGAGAAACGATAGCTAAAATGAAATTGAATAGACCTTGTCACGGTTTTCGACGCCATCTTGACGAGTAGGCAAACGCGTGAGAAATTAGAGTAATAGTATGGGAATCTAATGTCCAAAAATTTCCGTAAAACGGCTATTTAAAAAAAAAATATACGAATTACAAACTAAAGCTTCACTCTTAAGGATTCTACTGAAACAATTTGAGGGTGTTATATGCGCTAGCAGACCTAGAACCTTTTTTTTTAAAATTTTCTATACACCTGTCTGTAAAAATTTCCCGGGACAAAATGCGGACAAATATATGGAAAATCTAAAGCAAGCTTCAGGAGAAATTTAAGCTCAGTAACGGCCCCCAAATTTTGTCAGCAAAATCTTTTGCTGTGCAGCTTTAGTTTACAATTCATATTTTTTTCCAGAACAGCCNGTTGTCGTCTCGATAAATAAATTAGTAAACGTCATAATACATCCGGCCTCTAAAACTTACTCGACTTGTACAAAAAGCTATCCATAATTTGAGCTATAGTAAATAGAGTTGTGAGTGACCGGTCAGTTTTTATGGAGAGGGGATAAAAAAACGATGGAAGGTTGGGGGGAGGAGGGTACTTTAGAGTGATTAGCAGTGTGGCTATTTCTGTTTTTGTAATTAACGAAAACGTGTTGCGGCGGTCAGTTTTTTCAGGTTATGCTAGATTCAATAAATTATTTGTGTTTGTATGGCCTAGGGAAATTCAAAAAACGTCTCAAAAAGTGGAATCCTATCAAGGATCCAAATAGGTAAGAGTTACAATAACCCAGCCAGCTGAAAAAATATCACCGCCAAATGTTTGTGTCAGTCTGATAGCCTGAGGAATTCGTCTAAATATCACGAAAATTTTAATCATATATCTTTTTAGTTATGTTCTACCAAAACAGACTTAAATACTAAAGAAATAAAGTTTCAGAATCAGTTTTACATTAACAGTAAAATCAGGAGCGAGGGCACCGCTTAGAACATGGTAATTATTATCGCCGAATGTATCTGGCAGTGTATTGCTAGTCGACTTAATGCACCCAAGTATTGAAAAAAAAAAAAAAGGCAACTACATTACAGACACCTCAAAATTATGGGGGAGGTGTCAGAATTAAATTATTGCTTAAAAGAGGGGGTCACTTGTGTTTTTCTAGCCCGTGAGCAAGTTTCCTTGCCAGGACTAGGGAAGGGGGGTCCTTTCAAAACTTGCAATGCATTCTCCCTCCCCCTTTCCCATAAATAACGACCGGTCTATAAGTTTTATTGAACAAGGAAAGCAATGTCTATATATCACTTCACAATTAAAAGTATGAATTGAAATCAATGTTTTACTTAAAGGGTTTATTGAGGTTAGGGTGAAGGGAAATGTTTCGCTCCATAGCTTTATTTGCACTTGCGAAAAAGCTCTTACATGATTAAAAATTGACCTAGCATTTAATTTTTTGGATCAGATGACAAAAAAGGGTGTATTTGATTATTTAGGCGATGTACATACAATTAATTTTGTATGAGAAACGATAGCTAAAATGAAATTGAATAGACCTTGTCACGGTTTTCGACGCCATCTTGACGAGTAGGCAAACGCGTGAGAAATTAGAGTAATAGTATGGGAATCTAATGTCCAAAAATTTCCGTAAAACGGCTATTTAAAAAAAAAATATACGAATTACAAACTAAAGCTTCACTCTTAAGGATTCTACTGAAACAATTTGAGGGTGTTATATGCGCTAGCAGACCTAGAACCTTTTTTTTTAAAATTTTCTATACACCTGTCTGTAAAAATTTCCCGGGACAAAATGCGGACAAATATATGGAAAATCTAAAGCAAGCTTCAGGAGAAATTTAAGCTCAGTAACGGCCCCCAAATTTTGTCAGCAAAATCTTTTGCTGTGCAGCTTTAGTTTACAATTCATATTTTTTTCCAGAACAGCCGTTTTACGAAAATTATGCGACATTAGATTCTTATACAAGCTGTAGTTTCTGACACGTTCGCCTACTCGTCAAGATGGCGTCGAAAACCGTGACAAGGTCTATTACGAAATCATAATCATCGCGGTTATTAAGGGTTGGGTCAAACGGGTTTAGCTGTGGAAAATGATTTATTCGCTATAACATCAGCACAGATTATGGAGCTGAATAAAAATTTGGCACACCTAAAAAACTCGTCGTCATCATCATCATAATATTGTGTCAAGAAGTCGCGTGATATGTCTCGTCTCTATATTTTTATTAAAATCTTCAATAATTGACATATTTGTGGCGTGTTTAAAAAAGGAAATCAAGTAATAACATGTTTCTCATTCATATTTTCTTATTTATGAAAATATTTCTAACACTTCACGTTTCGAATGACTGTCCATTGCAAGCTCATTGCACTTCAATAAAAAATTATGAGGGAAAACAGCATTTTAAACGCCTAAATTTTATCTTTAATTATTTAAATCTTTTATTGTAAACTTCGTGTACATTCATTCCAAACGTAGAAAAGAAGATATGTTTACCCTCGATCAGAACACCAATTTATTTATCCAAACAAAGTACATTCGCCATCAACTCGCCAATATCCTTCCTTTTTGAATAATTAATCCTTAAGGCACGACAAGAAGACGTCAAGATTTACTTTTGGGGAAAAACTCATTTTGTTCTATGGATCCTAAAGAGAGATATTGCCAATCAGTCATATGCTCTGCCCTTGAGATTTGAGGATTAAAGAAAAAAACCCTCAGGATTTCAACGCGATTTAATCCCATCACCTCCAGGTTAACGTTGCAAACTGAGCTTCGCATGAGCCGGGTTGACCGGCTGGCCCGGTTTCCGAGATCTCGCTTTACCTCTAAATCCTTGGCCCGGTTACCGGGTCGAATTTCCCCATGTGTTCATACGAGAAATTTCAGCCCGGTTTCCGAGATGAGAAAATTAAGGCCAAAGATCCTGGGGACGGGTTCTGGTGCCCAATTCGAGAAACAAAGCAAACATGGCCAAACACGAAAAAATTTAACTTTCGCGCCTATCATAGCTTCGGCAACTCTTAAAGCTGTATCACTGCATTTAAATGGGATGCTTATGATGTGGAAATACAGCAGGTAACGCAAGAAGATACCATCCGGACCGACAGAATTCATCCTGCTTGTGTTCATATTGCGTGTTCCCCAGTCAGCCTTGGGAAAGCTTAAGAGGAGGTAGGGTGCTCGATCCCAACGATCTTACGAAAAAATAGTGGGCTATGAAAAGTCTAAAACAATAGTACCGTCCTAATTTTTTTACCAAAGTATTTCGTCTACAGATTCCTTTAAAGTTAGAACTGTTTATGAAGGAAGCAATTGTTTCTGCATACTAGATTTGGCATAAATAATAATAGCTTAATTCTTTGAAGAAACTTTGACTTTTATATGACAGAAATAATTCCAGTGGTCAGTTAAGTGCATGCGCTAGGAGTGATTAAGAAAGGTTCAAAGAAGTTCATCACTGCAACTCAGGAAACACCACACTCCAGGAAATTCAAATGACGACATTGTTGCACTGGGAACTGCACATATCCTATCTATCAAATGACGCTAGAACGAAGACAAGTTCAGCCCAAGTTCAGACGAAAAGTTCAGCCCGAAGGCGTACCCCACATTAAATGACGACATATAAATTTATGAATTTTTTAATCCTTTATTTATGAATTTATGTAGTAAAATATCACAATAGTATCTTGGCGC